GGAGCACCGTAATCGGAGCGAGTTAATCTTATCGTGACTTCGCAGGCCCCAAGCTACTGAGCTCGACCGCAAGTGGGCTACAGTGGGCCCTTGCAGCGCTGGCCCACTGTGCTCAAACTGAGCCGCGATAAGCTGCCTCTTTGTCTTTGGGGGACAAAGGCTGGACGTGCGATGTAGATAGTCCCTGGTGTGTTATCATATCCATCGAGTAGTGCCATCTAAAGTAGCTTCTAAACCCAAATGCAAATGTTCCACAGGTGGCTATGGCGTGGACTTCTCCCACGACACGGAGACCATCGAGGAGGGCGTGGCCATGGTGGCACGCGGCCTGGTCAAGAGCGGGGTGACCTCCTTCTGCCCCACGCTGGTTACCTCGCCCAGCGACAGCTACCACACCATACTGCCGCGCATTCCCGCAGAGGTTTCCAGGGGAGCCGGCATCCTGGGTATCCATGTCGAGGGTCCGTTCATCAATCCGCAGAAGAAGGGCGCCCATCCGGAGCACTGCATACAGACCATCGATAAGGTGGGAGACCAGTTTTCATTGCAGATTATTTAAATGTAGCCCTGTGTTTGCTTTGCTTGCAGGGACTCAGCACGCTGAAGGAGACGTACGGCTCGCTGGACCGCATCAAGATCATCACCCTGGCGCCGGAGAAGGTCACCGACCCGGAGGTGATTGGCCAGCTGGTGGAACGAGGCATCACCGTGGCCCTGGGCCACTCGATGGCCTCGCTGAGCGATGGCGAGGGAGCCGTGCAGCAGGGCGCCACCCTGATCACGCACCTGTTCAACGCCATGCTGCCGTTCCACCACCGCGATCCCGGCCTGGTGGGACTGCTGGCCTCGGACGCAGTGCCGCACGGAAGGACCGTGTACTTCGGCATCATCTCGGACGGCGTGCACACGCATCCGGCGGCGCTGAGAATCGCCTACCGCACACATCCGCAGGGCCTGATCCTGGTCACGGACGCCATATCGGCGCTGGGACTCGAGGAGGGAGTGCATCACATCGGACAGCTGCCGCTGGAGGTTAAGCAGGGCAAGGCGTTCATCGCAGGCACGGAAACGCTGTGCGGCAGCATCGCCCCGATGGACGAGTGCGTGCGGATCTTCCAGAAGGCGACCGGTGAGTGGGAGATCCCCGATAGAACTCGCATTAAATGCTCCGTTTTGCAGACTGCTCCGTGGTGTACGCCATCGAGGCGGCCACCTTGCATCCAGCTCAGTGCCTGGGGATCGAGCAGCAGAAGGGAACCCTGGACTTTGGCTCGGACGCGGACTTCATTCTTCTGGACGACCAGCTCCGGGTGCTATCCACCTGGATCGCGGGTGTATGTGTTCACCGGACTGCCAAGTAGTACATCGAATGTACGATTGTTGCAATTGATTTTATTTACCTGATGCAGGATGTATTTTATACCGAAGATTCTTCGAATAAATTGTTAAATTTATACACTTCAGTTGCAGTTCGACTGCAGAAATTTGGGATTCCTGTGGCCAGATTCAAATCCATTCTTAATAGTGATGATTGGCCATGGCATTTACCATTTGAAAGCCCCAAATGAACCAAAAATGAGTCATTCGTTTATATGACATGGTTTAGGTTGTTCTTTATATTTTAATCGGTAAATCATTTGGTGTGGACAACTAAACTAAATCCATATACAGTTACAAATAATTGGTTTACACGACAAAAAAAAATGTAGAATAAAATTACAAGGAGACGGGAGGCGAGCGCTTGATGGTGCGTTGGGTTTGGGCGCTCCTCCCAAGTGGATGCGAATGCAAATGCGAATGCTACATTGATGGCGTGCACCGTCCTTACATAGAAACATGGAGATATACACGCGCGCACACCCACGCCCCCTTAAGTGTACACAGATATATATATAAATTGGGTGTGCGAGCGCGAATGCACATAAAAACGATGCGATATACGGTGTGTAGTTATATATATAAAGATATATATATATATATAGGCAATAATCAGAAAACAATTTCGGTACACCTCTATCTCAATCTGGAACTCCCACTGCAACTCCAACTCTGGCCAGGATCTGGCTTGATGAGTGGCCAGGGCACAGAGCAGAGCAGGGCGTCCATCCCCACCCGCTCCATCGAATTCCTCGCTGGCTTAGCATCGACAAACAAAGCGAAAGCAAGCTAGGTATAGGCTATATACTATCCGATGTATAATATGTATAGATGTTCTTTATATCTAGGCGGAAACGCAAAACAAAACGAAACACTAAGTGGGGCGGCAGGGGAGGCGAGTGATGGCGAACGGACGATAGGACGAACGATCAAACGAATGACTGACTGAGTACAGGAATCGTAAGACTATATGTATATCAAAAGTACGTTACAAAAGTTGCTTATGTCTGCGTCCTCGCTATCATTGTCGTTTCGTGTGGCTGGACAGTGGCTGGAACTGATCTTCTGGCCACGTCAGTTAACCGAAATGCAGATCCGCGCTCCTTCTGCGAACGGAGCCGTGTCCAAGTTAGGTGTGCGTTAACTAACGTGGTCCATGCCGCCTGACCATTGCCTGACCACCATCGTCGCTCGGAGTTTTGTAAAGTTGCTTCCAAATGTTCGTATTACAATATCTGTTGCTTGTTGTTAAACTTTAGGTAGGTTGTTTCTGTTGCTTGTTCCATCTGCGTATCCTCGTAATAAGTAAGTTCCCCACGTGCGAGTGACCCCGACCTTATTGCTTTGCTTCCCTTCGTGCGTGCGGAGCAGTTTCAGAAACCGATTCCCAACGCTTCCCGTTCCACTTCGTTCTGTTCCTTTCCGTTCCTATCCGATCCAGTCCAATCCAATCCGTCTTTCGCCGCCTTTCCCACGCACAGCTAAGCACAAACCGGGCCAAAGCACGCCCCGTTCGCCTGGAACGCCGCTTCTTACGCGCAGCACTTGCTGTAGCCCGGCGCCTTCTCTTGGTTCCGGCGGTCGATGATCACGCGCTCCTGGTTCTCCGCCGACTCGCGTCCCGATGTCTTGTCCAGAATGGCCTCGGCCAGCTCGCAGAAGGCCCGCTCGATGTTTATGTTCGATTTGGCGGATGTTTCCATAAACCGAATGCCATGTTCACGGGCAATCTAAACGTGGGCAGAGATGGGAAAGGGGGGCAAATTATTAGCTTGGTAAACAAATTGATCAAACAGACGTGGGGCGTGTGCGATCAATGAGTATCATTCTTAATAAATAACCAGAATAGTTCTAAAATAAATTGTGTGCTTGCCTCTTGCGGAAATTTTCATTTGCTCTGATTAACACGGACATACCATAGGACTAAATATGTAGTTTCGTCTTGATTGTTAGATAACCAAACTCTTTCATTACTTATCTGTCATTGTATCATGTAGCAAAAAGCTATTGGACCTATCCACTAATATATGATCAACTGCCAAACTACTATTTACCTCTGGCTATTAACAAATCAACACATTCTACAAATGCAATGGAATAGAAGGGCACAAGAGCTATAGAATCTAACTTCAGCTATGGATATTTGGGAATCTCTGGGACCGATTGCTGTTTTATGGGGACACCAAGGATGAGGGATGCTCACCGCTTCGCCGCGCTCCTTGTTGACCACCCGCTTGTCCGTCATGTCGCACTTGTTGCCCAGGATCATCTTCTCCACATCCTCGTTGGCGTGCTGAAAGGGGAAAGAACACTTTAGACGGACAAAGGCCATTGCTCGCAGGGGGATCACGTACCTCGTCTATGTTCCGTAACCATTTGACTATATTCTCGAAACTCTTCTCGTTCGTTATGTCATAGACGAGCATTATGCCCATTGCGCCTCGATAATACGAGGTGGTTATCGTGTGGAATCGCTCCTGGCCGGCGGTGTCCCATATTTGCAGCTTGATCTTCTTGCCGCGCAGCTCAACTGTTTTAATTTTGAAATCGATGCCTGGGGAGCAAGTAAAACAAATGTAGTGCGGAAAAACAAACGCAATTAGAGCCGAATGACGTCACGGCGGTGTTATCGATTATATTGGAATTGTAATTTAACAAAATAAAGCAGTTCCACAGTGATATGATGATTCATTACATTCGTATTTGGAGCACGCATTCCAACTAAATGATCACACGTCTGTGTTACGTGTTGCGATCATAGTTTAGAACGAAAAGTTCACGTTCAGGGAGTTATATAGCCACATAAATGACATATTTTGCTCGCTTTTCACTCCATAAGCGATCGAATCAAGCAGTGCGTCCGCCTGTCGATAAGGCAGTACCACGCCCAGTCACACACGCACACACATATATACATATATCCTGGCTGCGCAGCTGACATGTGCGTGTGCGTGTGTGTGCGGTGCGGTGCGGGTGGACAGATGCATGTATGTGCGTTACTTGCGTGTATGTCCCGTTACTCACCTATGGTCGATATGAACGTGGACGTAAATGCATCATCCGAGAACCGGAACAATATGCACGTTTTTCCCACTCCCGAATCGCCGATCAGCAACAGTTTAAAAAGCAAATCGTAGGTTTTCTTTGCCATTTCCAAAACGCAACGATACCCTCGCAGAACAAAGCACAAACACACGCGCACACTCTCACACGCACAGGCACGGGTGCAGGTGACAAGCGATATTATTATTATAAAAGCGTCTGCCTTTTGTCGCGCTTTCTTTCGCTTGTGGCCCCTTATACAATGATCCTGGATCTCGTGTTAGCCCTTTTTTCTTTCCGCTGTTTAAATGCGCCGAATTAATTAATATTTTTCGCTTGCAATTGTTGCTATTAGAACTAGAGCTGGAACATGAAACGATATCTGCTCGATAACACCGATGCTAATCGAAGTGTGGCAGGTTTTATGCACTATCGATTTCTAAAGAGAAGCCCGAGTTTTTAAATCTTAGCTTAGTAACCGAAGTATGTTTTGAGTTATAATGCTTACTCTTGAAACCTCAAATTTGATATTTAGGCCAGTGAACTCATGTAAGTACTGTTTAATTATTACGCGATTTGGCAGCCCCGTACTATCGGTATAACTGTCAATCGATAGGCGCAGACAATAACGCTTTCGGTTATCGGTATCGTAAAATAATAACAATTTCGCAAAATTCCAAACCGATTCGCAAAAAGGTGGATTATTCTCACAAATCAGAGCGGACAACGTTTCGATTGAAGTGATCCCAATCCCAGCCAATCCACCGCAGGCAATGGACATCGACTGGCAGAACGGGCTCACAGAGCTGAAGGACCGGGGCCAGTACCTTCTGCACTCGGAAAAGTGGGCCGACTGCCGCTTTCTGGTGGGTTCCTCGCCCACCCAGCGGCTCATCGCTGGCCACAAGCTGCTGCTGGCCATGGCCTCGCCGGTGTTCGAGCGGATGTTCTATGGCAACCTGCCAGATAAGACGGACCCCATCGTCATACCGGACGTGCAGCCGGAGGCGTTCGAGGCGATGCTGGAGTACATCTACACGGACCGCATCACCATTGGGTCCTTCGACAAGGCCTGCGAGCTGTGCTACGTAGCCAAGAAGTACATGCTGCCCCACGTGGTCACCCGTTGCACCCACTTCCTTTGGGCCGACCTTAGTCCGAAAAACGCCTGCCGGGCGTACGAGTTTGCCAAGCTGTTCGATGAGCCACGCCTCATGCAGAGCAGTATGGACCTAATAGCAGCCAACACGCGCGAGGTGCTGTCCGATCCCAGCTTCCTAGACATCGAGGTCTCCACCCTGATGGCCATACTTGACCAAAATCGCCTGAACATCGACTCCGAGCTGGATCTGTTCAACTGCCTGCTGAAATTCGCCAGTGAGCGGGGCATCCTGAACGAGCCCGGCCAAGAAGAGGCTGCTGGCGGAGGTCAGGTGCTGACCAAGGAGTCGCCCGACAATGCTGCCGGTCATGTGCTGGTCGAAGAGATCAAGATGGAGCCCGATGTGGCGGCCATGGTGCAGCACATGCACCAGGACGACGAGGGTGACAGCTTCGAGACGGACGCAGGCATGGCCTCCACTTCCTCTGGTGCTGTAGTGGCAGCAGCGGCGCCTGCGGCTGCCTCCCCGCCGCTAGACGTGGCTTCCGGCTCTGACGACCTGGTGATTATCGATAGCGACGCTTCCGCCGATGCCGCCGCCAACATGATCAACATCATGGACGCCCAGCGCACCATTCTCGATGGAGCTATGCTCCGGCAGGCGGTCAAAAAGATCCGCTTTCTTACCATGACGCCGCAGCAGTTCGCCGAGGGGCCGGCCCGTTCCAAGCTGCTGCAGCAGCACGAGGCCCTCTCGATCCTGATTAAGATATCCAGTCCCTCGCTCAACGATTGTCACATGCCAGAAGGTTTCTGTGTGTCGCGAAGCACGCGCAACTTCTATGAGTCGGGCCACCGGCACGCCCAGAGAGAACTGTCCTCCTCGTACCGCACTGGAGCCGCTCCCTCAGGCGTCTGTTTCCCGGGTCCGGCAGTCCGCAGCGGAGGTCCTGCCGGCGGCGGAATGATGATGGGCAATGCGCCCCGTTTCGGATCCGTTGGCACTGGATTCAGCTTCGCAGGCGAGGAGTTGGTCATGCGCCCCCCGGACCCAGTGGGCGTCCCACAAGATGCCGCACCGGGGCCAGCCCCACTGCGCTGCTTCGGCGAGGGCTATGAGAACGGAGCGCCAGTCCCAGCGCCCGCCAATGATGATGACGGTGGCGATCGGGGTGCGCCGGCGCCCGCCGGCGGAGCTGCAGCTGGAGGAGCTGGATCCGCAGCTGGAAACTCGCACAACGACATGGTGCGCGCCTACTGTATGCGCTCCCTCACCCGCCAGTTTGACTTCCGCAACACCAGCGTCACGGATGCAGGCGTGACTTTCCAGGTGGACACCAACATCTGGATCTTGGGCGTCCAGGTGCCAACACGTGTGCTGTGTGGCGAGCTGATGACCTCCGCCGGCTTTACGGAGCGTTACACCGAGGTGCTGTACGCCCACATCCAGGACATGCACGGCTCAAGGATCACATACACCCACTGCACGGCACGCGTGCGTTACGACTCGCTGCTGGACATAACGTTCGATCGACCTGTGTACATATACCGGAACCAGATCTACAAGATCTACGTCGTGTTCAACAAGACCGGCTGGTATCCCATGTACTCCTGTGTGCCCGATGCCAACTGCAACCGCGTGAAGTTCATGTTCAACGTGGGCAACCCCACGGAATCCGTTCGTGACGGCCTGATCTACGCAATCATCTTCTCCACGCCCCAGGACCACGGCCGTCACCTGGTCGACTGAATCCTAAGCAATATTAGTTCATTAGTTTAGCTCCTTCCCTGTATTTTCGATGTGATAGACTTTGGTTGGCGTCTTGGCCCATGGAACTTATTTGATCTGTATGCTGGAATTTTCCCATTCTATGTTTACAAGCTGGGAACTAATTGTGCATAGTTTTAACATCACTTACCAATGTATGGATCGTTTGTGTTCTTGGCTGGTTGTTGTATTGGCGAAATACTTAGGATCACCTAGCAAATGAATAGTCTCAATCACGCTTCAGATCAGCAATTGTTTCATAATTTTGTACAAGTTTATTGCCAAGTTCAATTAGTTCTGCTGTATAGCTCTAGCCAATTATGCATTTATTTTTTTGAGTGCTTGATTTAAGCTGCCAGTCCCTCTTAACAAACTCCACTTAAATGTTTTTTTTTTACAAACGTAATTATTTTGCGTTTAGCTTTTATAGATCAACAAGCTAATATTTTAAGACTTATATAAGACTAAATTGGTATATTTCAATTTAATAAAACACATTCAATATATTTCCTAATATCGTCACGTTTGCTGTGCTCAATTGTGAACATCTAGGGTGTAGGATTCCAAAGGAAACGCAAATGGGGGCGAAACCGAACCCCAAAAAATGGCTTTTTTTGCCTTGAAGAAATGTACAATAAATAAAATTAACTTTATTGCGATTCATATACAAAAGAGACCAAACAACAAAACAAGTTAATAATACAGAAAGGAGAGGTAAAGAAAGATAAAGACGGTTAGAAAGCAAAAAGGTTAACAAGCTATTGGGCTAGGAAGTTTTTTACAGTGCAGAGACGGAGGGACGGAAGTAGTTGGTTAGTCGGAGCTTACAGTGCACACTCGAATCAGCGAACCAATGGAAACCTAGGGGTGCTTCAAAACAACATAACTCCCAGTTTGCAGCAAACAAGTATGTATCTCCTTTAATTCGAACGTTCACATTATCGAGATAGCACTGCACTTTGTTCGTGGGCATATACAGAGCGGCCGGCGATCCCTATTTGCCGTAGTTGGCGCAGCTGCCGCTGGCGTACTCCGGCTCCTCGCAGGTCAGCGTGTGCTCGTCGAAGACCTTGTCCTCGCCGCAACTGATCAGGCGGGGATGCCCCTCCACGCAGGTGATCAGGCGGTGGCAGTCGCCGGCGACGGGGAAGCGGGGGAAGGGCCAGAAGCGGGCGGCCACCGAGTTCGGGTCCACCTTGGTGGGGCACTTGAAGCCGACGACCGCTGGAATGATTTGGGTTATTTAAAATACACAAATATATTCAAGGAGTGAGGAGACAAGTGGGAAACAGGTGGGGACAAAACTGAGCATGCTTCTAAACATCACGTTAAAAGTGAGCTAGAGATTTGAAGGCTCACCCTCGGGATTGCAGTGCTCCAGCAGCTGATCCGGCCAGTTGCAGCCGTGGATCCTCTCGTCGTAGGCCAGTCCTGCGTCGCAGTCCTGCTCGTGGGGCTCACCGTGGGCGCACTTGATGTAGGTGGTGGAGCAGTCCTTGGAGACCGCGTACAGACCGAACTGGTACTCGCAGGCCGGCGTGGAGATGGGAGTGGCTAGCGGGCGAGAAAGAGTACCCCCTCAGTTAGGGAATCCGGCTCGATGGACTCGCTGGACTGCTACTCACGATCCCACTGGCGGCCCTTGCAGTCCACCGCCCAGTTGTAGTTGCAGTGGTTGTGCACCGCGCCCTTTCCGTCGAAGAGCAGTCCGTTCTCGCAGGTCTCCAGGGTCAGGGTGCCGTTGGTGCAGAGGAAGAACTGGTCGCAGTTCTCCGTGTGGGCGTACGCCTGCACGCCGTACTTCTCGGGGCACTCCGGAGATCCCACGGCCAGGGCATGTCCTGGAAATTGGGACGGATTGCAATTTATATTGGTTGTTTTTATATTGGGAATCCATATTCGGATACGGAGCTTGCTGGGAAGGTAATATCTCTAAAGGCAGTGCTTATCCCCCTTTTTATTGAATTCATATTCATATCGCACTAAAATGGTTCTCCCTTTGCTGCAAAATGTATATACGCCCTAGACCATTGCGTTCTCTTGTTTTTTTCAGTGTAGAAGCGCTCTATAGAGCTATGGGCATATGTAAACTGAGCGATTCAGCCGATGATTGTTCGAAAGCGGTGACCAATGTTCCCAACATTGTCAAACCCGAATCGCGGTGCCGTCCACTTCCTTCCTGTCCGCCAGTCGGTCTATCTCCATTCCACCTGGCGCCCCTGCTCCACCTCCGCCTTTCCACCTGCCCAACTGGTTTTGATGCAAGTGGAAGTGACGCCACAATCGCGACCACGACAAATTCGCGCATCTTCGCACCGCGTCTAGCTGTTCGAATCGCTTTGGAAATGGAGATGAAGATGGGGAGATGGGGCTGTGGAGATGGAGATGTGGAAATGGAAATGGAGATGTGGAGATGGAGCTTTGGAGCTGGTGTGATGTAAGCCCGAAACAGCTTGATTGTTGACTGTCGATGGGTAATGGTTAATGGTTAATGGTTAGTGGTTAGTGGCTGACTAGCGGCCTGCGCACAATTTGCTCGAAGTCCCCAACCGAAAATATTCAAATATGTGAAGATTTCCGGTATTTAAGTTCCACACTCGCCATCAATAAGTTGTGGATCAAACACCTCAATCTTTTGTTCCTTGTCGGAGAGGTTGAACTTGGTCCATCAAGGTTCCAATCGTGATATTAGCCAGCTATCTTATGTAAATCTCTGGAAGCCTGGCGATAGTTCCATGTGGTTCAACTTATAGAGATTTGCCTATGGCCATAGTGGTGATGGAATTCACAAGTGAAAACATTTAAATTAAGTGCGAGTGGTTGGGAAATGGCTCAGCCACCAAAAACAGCCTTCTTGTGACATAATTGACATTGATGGCTCTCCGAAAGGCCAAAGCGTGTGGCGATAATCCGATGCGGTCCGCTGTGATCTGTGCACCTACCTTTCTGGTCGCCTTGGTTAACCCAGAACTAGATCGCACCTAATTGTCAACTGGTTTGACGGGCCCAAGTTCTACTTTTGTTGGGTTTGGCATTTGTTTTATTTAGTTCATTAACTTGCCGGATCGGCTGGCCGATTTCAGATGGCTTACGTCTGATATATACGATATACGGGCATATATGTACACATGCATGGTGTGTGATTGGCGGCCAGCACCAAGATCTCCGCAGTGAGTCAGTGGTGGAAACAAAAGCAAAAGTGATCGCTCGCCTGATCTGCATGCCAAATCAGCTACGGCCATAGGGTATAGATATGGCTATAGATCGGCGGGCAGCACGATTAAGTGGAGCAGCCTTCGGCTCGAAAAACCAGTAATTAAAATACATTAAGACTGAAGCTCGATTCTCGAGGCGAGAACAAAAGAGCAGACCGTTAGGTTTGCCAGATTCGAAGGGGCACCACGATATGTGTACATATGTATGCACTCGCAAATATACTATAGATCGCATTTGGACACTCCACGCGATTGCAGTGGAATTTTTGAAAGTAAAAGCTCCGTTTTCGAGGCGCACACACGCGAGTAATTGAAAGGTTTGGCTAATTGCAAGCGGGAGTGGCAATCGATTCAGTAACCAAGGCCCTAGAGCATTATGTATTGGTGCTGGCAATAGTTTGGCACTTACCACAGGCAATCCAGGCCAGGATTAGGACGCTGCACACTTGGAATCGCTGCATGTTTGGTGCCTGGCATTTGAAAACATATACATATAAACAAATTATTAAGGCGGAAATGCATGGGGTGTTAAGTGAAAAACCACAAACAAGGCACACACACGCACCGTAAAAAAATATATTCAAATGCGCGCAAAAAATGGAATGGAGAAACTTGAAACTTCCGCTCCAAGATTGTACGTTTTAACGGTTACGCGTTCCAAACTCAACTGAAAAGATTTGTACCGCGCTCCAAGAAGAAGAAGAAGAAGCGGCCGAGCTGCGACTGCGCAGCGTTGACCAAACTGCGCCAGCAAAACCGAAAACTAAAAACAGCAAAAAAAATTAAGTACAGTAGAAACGTGGTCGAAAAAACCGAACAAAACCGAAACCAAAACCGAAACCGAATCAAAAACAAAAAACCCCACAAACGACACCAGAGTTTTGCAAAACTTTGGTTTTTCGCTTTTTCAATCCCACTTTGTTTTTTTTTTTGGGGGCGGTGGGCGGTGGGTGGTGCTGTGTGTTGTCACAGCTGCCATTGTTGTTGCATTGTTGCTGGCTGGTGTTTAATACAAAACGGGATTTGGGATTGCCAGTGCTGCCAATCGAGCTATTTTCCCGCCGCAGCTCACCAATTTGAGAGTCCAAATCTGTTGGGAACAGCAAACGACATACCGAATTTCATATCGATCGAACATTTTCCTCGCAGCAATCTCTTATGCTTTGAAACCTCTGATAAAGAATTAAATTGTAAGTATAAGCTGGGGAAATAGTCATTCCAAGATGTTGCATAAGAATGTGATCCACTAACCCAATCGTCTTTCTAAAATGAATTAATACTGTGCCCAAACTCATTTACAGTGCTGTCCAAAAGTATGCTGCTAGATAGTACGAGTGTTGAGTTATCAGCACAAGGCAATGTTTTACTGGATTCTAGCTATTTTGAGTCCGTTTCCTGGCCTGAAAACACGCCAAGGAGGAAATCGAGCTTCTCTGGCAACATGTGTGATTGAAAGTAAAAGGCAAAGCTCGCGCAGACCATAAGCTTCATTCATGATTGGGCCCGTTTGCCGATTGCCGTTACATTGTTAACTATTGCAAAATACTTGCTTTTGCTTTTGCTTTGCTTTGCTTTGCTTTGCTCGTGCTGCGCCGATTGCATAAGCACTCTTGCCTGCTTTTTGTGCCCATTTACATGTGCGGTGGCTGCTCTTTTCTCGGTCTTCGGTTCGCTTGGCCACTCGGGCAATTAGCGACTCTTTGTAGCCGATGGACGGACCAAGGGCCATGGTGGATAATGGATGGACCGATCCCGCCTCCGTCCACCTCGGTTATCCGATATTGCGTGTGGAGTGAAAGGTTTGATGGATTAGTCAATCGCGCTCCGCGCTATTTGCCCAAGAGATGCACACTAATTTTGTATAGATTCGAAATGGTTTTTTAATTCGAAAAAAGCGGAGAATGTAGGGTGAAGTTGGATGTCAGGGGCTTACAGTCTGATGAATGATTACTTAACTTAAGTAGGCGAAAATCACATGTACAGATTCGAAGGTTGTGTCGCTTGGATTATTGGATGCAAGTCAGGAAGTTTTTTAATAAATAGCTTGGCGTTCCTCAAAAGGGAAAGGAAACTAGATAAAAGTATAGCATAAAAGAGAATTTAAGAGTCGGTATAACAAAGTACAGGGAAATATATATGAGGAAGGCAGAATTTATAGAAAAGATTTAGAAAACTGAAATGAAACTGAAGCTAAGCTTGAGGTAGAAGAGAAATACGCATTATAGTTTTAGAATGCTTAAAAAAATGCTCTTAGGAATAATAAACTGTTGCATAAAAATAGTTTACAGATCAAATGGACAGGAATTAGAATTTGAGAATTTAAAAGTGAGAAAGAGGAAGAGGAGAAAGAGGAAGAAAATAGAAAAGAAAATATCCAGTTTTGAAACTTAAAGAAGGACAGAAGTTTGTAAAGAGGTTTCCCATATAGACAAGAAATTGGTTAAGGAATATCAAAATAATATGGTAATATGGAGAAGTAGAAGGTTGTGGAGAAAACTTAGAGAAACCAGAGAGAAATTGATATATTAGGCGAAGATCAGATAGGATAGCTGAAACAGAACACAAGATAGTTGTAGTTCTGGGAGTGGGAAGATAGATCATTTTGGCAGGAGTAGTTTATAAAAAATTCAGTTTATTCTTTTTGTATAATAATAAGGCGAAAGTCTGAAAGCGGGAAATATATACACAACAATTTGGCAGCGTTCGGTTGGGCACAGAAATGAACAGATGTGGTGATTGGTAGTAAGAAAAGTAGTTAGAAGTAGGTATAGAAAAGTCAGAAGTAGGGAAAATAGTTAAGAGATAGATAGTCAGAGTATTGAAGTTTAACTGCTACACATACGCTCTATAGGAAATGGGCTAGAACTACTAAATTTAAGTGACTAAGACGCGAATCTGTGTGTTGTTTTGTTTCGATTTGATTGCTTTTCTCTCAGTGTGCTTGTGTGTGCATGAGTGTGAGTGTGGATGTGATGAGCAGAGCCGACCGGAGTGGCTTAGTCCTTCTTGTCGTCCACATCCTTGTACCAGTCCTCGCAGCCGGGCACATTCTCGGGAGCATCGCACATCTCGGTGGCATCGTTGTAGACCTCGCCCAGCTGGCAGCCCAGATCCCTGGGATCCTCGCCGTTCAGGCACACGTAGAACTTCTGGCAGTCGGTGGGATGCGGGTACTTGGGGTGGGTCACCACCTGGCCGCGGTCGTCGGTCTTCGGCTGGTCCTTGGGGCACACGAATCCTGTCTCGGAGGTTCCTGAAAGCACACACCACATGGCACCATTAGCCCACTCCGCCGCACTCCGCCTCCGGCCACTTACTCTGCTCCGGATTGCAGCCCTCGCGCTTCGCGGTGTCCGGCCACACGCAGGTGCCCGAGTACTCATCGAAGTGCAGGCCCACGGTGCACTTGGTCTCCAGGGCGTCGCCCTCGATGCAGTTGTAGAAGATGTTGCACACGGCGGGATCGGGATGCGCGAAGAAGCCGTTCTTGCGCGGGCAGTACTTGCTGGACTTGGGCTCCTCTGTGAAGGGAAACCAAGCGGGGTTAGTTACTCCAGCTACCAAGAAGCTACATCAGTATTACGAACTATGATCAAAGTTATGATCTTGAAGTTTGAGTGCCGACTTTTGGACAGCTTATTACAATGGTTTCTCGCCTTTAAATGTAGAGAAGTCCAAAAGTATGCTACGTTTTCTGCAAACGCGTTTTTCCCCTCTCGTATTCCTTACCAATAAATATATTTATGGCTTTTTTACCAACTTTAAGATATGAAACCTTGATGTTTCCAACTGATGTTAATCCGAAAAATGAAACTATATCTTAAGTTGGCATAAGATGCGGCCTAAAACTCTCTAGCTGAGCTATTTACATTTGCATGCATAGTTTATGATAATGCGAACAACCAGTTCAGCTTTGCCTTGACCCAGTTTTTTGACCATTCCCGAGAGTCAGAAACAACAGCCTGGAAATAGTAATTGATGGGTCATGGGATGGGCAACTTACGGAGCTCCGTGCGGTCCTCGCAGTCCACATTGAAGGGCTGGTCGCACTTGTTGAACTTGCGGTTGAGGGGATCGAAGACCAGGCCATCGGGACAGAGCTTCGCCTTGGCCACTCCGTCGTCGCAGACGTAGAACTTGTCGCACTGCACCTCATCGGCGAACTGGCCATTGGGCTTCGGGCACTCGAAGTCGGCGGCGGACACGGCTGGTGGAGGGGGAAACAAAGGAAAGAGGCACTTCAGTCAACTGGTTTTCCCACTTTCACTTTCCTGGCGACCCCCAGTCGCACTCGAAAGTGTAACAGATCGATGGCAATTCCGCATTCGCGGTTTCCTGATTGGTGCCCAAGAAATGATCGATGGCTTTTCATTGGAACAGGTTGCTCCAAGCTTCCACTGACTTGAAAACCCAATAGGGAAGAGTAGATTTTGTATATTATTGTGTGACCATTTACAAACAATCTGAAATCTCCTACTCGAGTGCCTAAAAGTAAGATACGAAATTCATTCGGTGCGAAAATCACTGCATACTTTTATACACCTTTTCATTTGCTATGCTGAAAATGCCCCTATAACCAATTCCACGCGAATTCTTTAGATTTTCGTAGCACACCGGCAGGTGATTTCAAATTGTAAATGCCAGTGAAGGCTTCTTGCTCAGCAAGATGCCCAGATTACGATACTCGGACCGGGTTCAACGCACTCCTTGGTTGACGAGCGCGATTCCGCGGCCCAAAAGAGCAGAATGCCACTTGGGCAACAAGCCGCAAGAGTTGCATAACCAGCGGCCCAGACTGCCAGACAGCCAGCCAGCCAACGGCTCTTGGGCTTGGCCAGCATTCCAGTTTTTCCAGACGGAAAACGGCGGCCCTCCATCTCGATCTGCATGTGGCCCGTAGATCCGCAATCGCGACCACATTTGACATTTAAGCGAGGCGTCTAAATGCCATAAGTAGCTATACTTATGGCTTTCAGTTGGCCCAAAACTCTCGATATGCAAAACACACAGTGGACCGAAGTGGTCTTGATTTCGGTGTCAGTGTCAAAGTAATTAGCAACAATTTGCGCCTTGGACTGGCTGGATGGGTTGGCCAGTAGTCACTTTAGCTCCAATATTCCAATATTCCCGCAAATCCATTGATTCACACTCACTTGTCGCCACACACAGGGTCACAGCAATGGCACATAAAAATAACTTCATTTTGGACTCGGTCTGAGAAAAAAAAAACGCAGAGCGACGATCCTGGCAACTGGATACTTGAGCAACTAATCGCGACTCAAGCGCTGCGATGGTTAAACTAAACTAACAACGGAACGCCAAAGAGGCGCACTTTTCAAGACTTTTTGCCGGCTCTGCTCGACGTCGCCGTCGACGACGCCGTCGGCCGCGGCAGAGAGATGCCAATGGGCGGGGCCACTACCGCCCCCGCCACTGCCACTGCCACTTCCACTACCAACACCAGCACCACTACTACTTCCACACGAAACCGAGCCAAGCCAAACGAGCTGCGGCTGGAGCTGGAGCTGGGGATCGGGATGGGGATGGGGATGGGGATGGAGCCGGGGCTCCAAAGGCGGCAAAGAAAGGCGAGCCGGAGATGTAATGGCACAAAAACAAGAAAGTGCAGAGGCGAGGCCCGGAAAACCGCTGGCGATATGCCCTAGCTTTAAAAGCACCACGCGAATTCTTCAGTGCGCCACCTGTATGGTTATCTCTCTTTTGT